CTGGAAAAAGAAGATACATAGATTGGAAGAAAGAGCAAATGAGTAAACATAACTCTTTGATGTAAATTTATTAATTCAAAATTGTTTCTCTAATACAAAAACCTACATAGTTATAGAAAAGTTTGAAATTGAAGTTGATATTCAGCATATGTTAATTGCAAGATTTTTGTAATAAACAAGTTTTTATAGGTTTGGTGTAACTTTTCATATAATATTTGTGATTATTAATTACTACAAATTACTTTCTATATGGAAGATGATTCTCAAGAAAAAAAGTAAAAAAATGTTTACGAAAATCAAAATATGGCATTAATAGTGAATTTTATTTATATTTCCTTTCATAAATTTGAAACCAATATGTATTTATGCATCAACTTTAAAGAAGGCACCTGTTTAATTTTTCACTTGTAGTCTCTGATACAGTCATGAATAAATTTTGTATACAGCACTTTACCTGACAGAATGATTGTATTTTCATCTCCAGATTGTAAGAGCATTACCAATCTAGTCACACCTTCAGCTGATAGCGTTACTTGGTCTCTGTCAACGATAACTCTGGCTAGTACGACGATCTGAACAGAAAACAAAATTACATGTAACTGGATACTTTCAGACTATTTTCCTAAATAGAATGAACTTAATTAGGCTTGAATTTTAATGTTGAGTCATGCCCTGCAGCTAACTTGGAATAAGTAAACAAGGTCAGAGGTCAGCTGGGGATCAGTAAAATTAGTACAGTTAAAGAGATAAATCAGTGATAGATCACAGGTTAGATGTAGATCAAAAAACACTGGAAAGTCGGCAGTTACTCTGATGGTAAACATGGAAGTTTAGCTGGGAATAAGTAAATGAGGTCAGAAGTCAGTAAACTTTATGGAAGGTCAGCTAGGATACATGGTGGTAGCAAGTTCAGAGAGAAATAAACAATGTGACATCTCATAGGTCTGTAAAGAATGGGTTAAAATGATAGCAGCCTAGGTCAGGTCAGATCAGGTCAGATCAGGTCAGATAGAAAAAAGTAAATATACTAGCAGTTAAAGTTTAGCTTGGACTGGTATAAACATAGTGGCAGTTCAGGGGTACTA